GTCCAGCGGAGAGAATTTATTTATCACAATGGTGGGAAACGTCGAGCCTCTTCGGCCCCTGGCCCCCTAGCAGCCACCGTTGAGCTGTAATTTGTTTCTCGGGTTGGCCCCGGTGGTTGCGCATGTGCGCAGGCCGGGGGCGCCGTGTCTGGGTGGGCCTTGCGCGGCCCGCCGCGGGGGGGGGGGGGGGGTAAATGTGCTCCTCTCCGCCTCATATTCAATTAGAACTTATCTTAGTTTGCATGCGTTGCACTGTCCGCTGGAACTAACAGCTGCGCGCCGCAGCTGCATGGGTGCTCGAACAAGCCAGCCTTGGCTCGCAGGAGAGAGAAGGAGCGCGCCAGCCCTCGGCCGTCGCGCGTCGTCGGTCGTAGGCCAGCCGGCCTCCTCCCTACACATTCCGGGTAGAGTAATCTTGCTTAACGGATATTTGTCTTATCGATGTCTCATCCCGCCCCCTCTCTCTTTGAGCAGAGTGAACATGAAATCTTAATTCCTTTGTCATCTTACCCCGATTCTCAGAGGAAAGACTAGATGTCGCCATCGCGAACAAGATGGGGAGACACCTCCGTGCCACGGCCTCGAGGGGCTTCATCATCTGGCGCCTCAATCCCGAGAGGATGCGTTCGTCTCTTTTTCGGACGCGGGGGGCGTGGGGGCCAACGAGGGGCTCTTGGATCACCGGGGGCCCCTTTGCCGACCCGACGCAGGGGGCCTGGATGGTCCTCGCGACGGACAAGAGCGTGATAGATTATTGCGCTGTTCGCGCGTCCACCCTCGGCTGGCGGAGCTCCAGACTCTGACGCAAGGTCACGTCCACCCTGGCCGGCGAGACCCAGGCGCTTTCCGCGGCAGTGGCGGAAGTTGAGTTTCTCCAGGTTCTTTACCGGGACGTTGTTTTCGGCGATGTGGATGTGTCAGATATGTCCAGGTGTCTTGGCCCTTTCACCACAGTTATCCGTAGGGGATGTAGTTAAGGCGGTCGGGGGGACCAAGTCCACGTGGTGGACGCGAAGTGCATTTATGATACGATGCTGAAGGAGGGGGACGCGAGTGCTCGCGACCGTCGTACGGCACTCGATCTAGCTGCTGTGTGTCAGGCGCTGGAAGGGGCCCGAGGATTCGTTCGGTGGATACCTCACGTCCGAATTCCCGTGGACTGCCTTACGAAGGACGACATAAGTAAGGGCAGCGCGGCCTTGTCTAATCTACTCGCTACCGGCAAGCTAGTATTGATAGACGAGGCCAGCGAGATATCTCGCCGGCGAGATCAGCCAGGCAGCAAAAACCGTTCCCAGGCGGCGTCGAGGAAGCGATTGGATCAAGACTCGCGGCTCATATCGCGGGCCGACTTCCAGTCCAGTCCGGTGGCGTCGGAGTCCGAGGATCCAGGCCTCTCTACCTTCCCCCCTCGCAGTCTTCACCCGGAGCACTGATTTGCATGCACAACTACTGTATTCTAGTTAAGGGTGCTTAACCTAGGAGAAAACTCCACCCATGTGATGGGTATCTTGTACTTCCGATATAGGTTTAGCGTAATGTTCTTTCTTGTGAAGCCCAGCGCTCCAGCTCACGGGGTAGCCAGGATTGTTCGCTTGCGTTTCAAGGAAGATTGCAGTGTGTTTGCCGCTTTGGCTCAAGGCCAAAATACATCCGTTCATCCTGCTGCTGCCACAGGTTGGTGCGCTCTAGCAGCGGTAGTCGCAGTAATTGTAGCGGTCGCAATCGTAGCCGTGTGTGCGGTAATACATTTCGTCGAAGCACTCATCGGGAGAGGAGGGGGGGGCGAAGATGAAGAGGAGGAATGAAGAGGACGGTGACGATGGTCGGGGTGATTGTTGCTGAGAAGGACCATGATCCGAGGGATGGGATGATACGGGCTGCGAATGAGGCCAGGGCAGGTGGATGAGGATGAGGATGAGAGGATGACGAAACAGAGGAGTCGGACTCCGTAGCGGAGGAAGGCGGAGGGCGGGTTCACGAAAAAGGGTAGCGGGACTGGCAGTATGGGGAGGAGAAGGAGGCGGAGGGTAACGATGCAGGATAAGAGGGGTTCGAGGATAGACGATGGGAAAAGAGGATAAGGATGAGGAAGGATGCGGATAATGATGTCATTGGCGAGGACGGGCGTGACCTGGAGTGGGTGCTCATGGTGATGGGACAAGGGGGGGCAGAGGGTTGATGATGAGGACGACGGCGAGTTTGAAAAGGGGGGATGGTGACAGATAGTGAGTGAGATGAAGGAGGAGACGCAGGCGCATGATGAGAGGTGGGATCGGGCGGAGGAGGTGGAAGAGGAGCATGAGGAGGAAGAGGAGGACGGTTTTGATCATATGTTTGATGATCTTGCTGATGATGATGGCGATGATGTTGTTGATAATGATGATGATGATGATGATGATGATGATGATGATGATGACGATGATGACGATGATGATGATGATGATGATGATGATGATGATGATGATGATGATGATGATGATGATGATGTTGTTGCTGATACTGATGATGATGATGTTCATGCTCATGCTGATGATGAAGCTGATGATGCTGCTGATGATGATGATGATGATGACGACAGTGTGATCAACAGGTGTCTGGGGTTTGGGTGCGGGGCTCATGAGGCATTACGCAGGAGTCGGACCGAGATGCGGGGATCAGGGGGGGCATGGAGAAAGGGGGGGGTAACGATACCAGCAATGGCGATGCGACCGCCCCTGGTGATCACGACGACGCTGATGATGTCATGGCAGGGTCTGATGTAGAGAGGGATGATTCGGCCGATGAGGATAGGGATGAGGACGAGTGAGGACGAGGCGGAGGGTTTGGGCGACCCGGGGGATGGCCCCTACGCGTATGAGGATAGTGTTCAGGAGTAGTGAGGAACGATACATGGGCAGGAGAAGGTTGAGGGGAAATATGGAGTGAGGATGGACGGCAATTGTGAGGGTACCACTCACGGTATAATTAATGACCATCATTTTGATGAGGACGATGTTGACACATGAGGATGGGTGATAATACTATGAAATTGAACGACGCTATTGATGATATGTTGTGGTTGCTGCTGATGACGATGCTGGTGATGATCTCGGTGATGATGATCATGATGATGGTGGTGATCATGATTATGATGATGACGATGATGATGATGATGATGATGATGATGATGGTGATGGTGTTGACGCTGATGCTTATGATGAGTATGGTGTTGATGATGGTGATGGTGATTTCAACGATGGGTAATCTGATCATGGCGGCAATGGAGGTGATAACGAACGTGATGGTGATGGTGGTGTTTTTGATGATGATGATGATGACGACGACGATGCTGACGATGAATGAACATGATGAGGAGAGGGGTGGAGGATGCGCAGGAGAACGATGGAGGACCAGTGTCAACCTAAGATGCATGAACGATGTTGCGATAAACCCACCCTCCATGTATTGCGCGAGGTGTCCCACGAATCCTCGACAAAGTTGCACACGTTTGAGATGGATGCGCTCGGCGCTCCAGCGAGAGCGACATTTATAAAAAGGAGCCACCTTCCATTCTTGAGACGCCGCTTCAAACTTTTAAGACGAATGCGCGTGGCGCTGAGGAGAGAGACACATTTTGGAAAGTACCCACCTTCCATCCTTGTATCTGTTACACAGTCAAGCTTCAGGATCACAAATGGTCGGGAAGTCCCACGGGAAACGCCTAGACCGCCCTCCACCCTTAAAACGGCTGCAAACGAATGCGCGCGGCGCTGAAGCGAGAGCTATATTTTGAACAAGAGCCGCCCTCCATCCATGAAATTGCTGCAACTCTAAAGCGAATATGCGCGGCGCTCTGGCGATGGCCATATTGAATCGCTTCGCTCATTCCGCCGGCCCATTTCGCATGACTGAGCCTCTTGGGGCCGCTGGGGGGCCTCTTCAGCGTCGCTTGGGGGCCTCCTGAGGGCCTCTTGGGGGCTTTGGGGGCCTCTCAGGGGCCTCTTGAGGCCTCCTGGAGGCTTCTTAAGGCCGAGGGCTCGAAGTTTTGTTTTGTGTTCCCCCTTTGGGGCATCGCTTGGGGCCCTCTTGGGCCCCTCTTGGGCCGTCTTGGATGCCTCTGGGGCCGTCTTGGAGCCCTCTTGGGCCATCTTGGGGCCTTCTTGGGAGCTTCTTGGGCCCTCTTGGGGCGATCTTGGGGGCCTCTTGGGCCGTCTTGGGGCGTCGGGAAGCCGAAAAGATGGACACGCCAAAATCTGCCCAAAACCTAAGGAAAAGTAATGAATTTTGCCTCTTGGGGCCCTCTGGGGAGTGCTCTTGGAGGCCTCTTGGGGCGTCTGGGGGCCATCTTGGGCGTCTTGGAACGATCGTGTGGCATCTCGGAGCACTCTTGAACCATCTTGGAGGGCTCTTGGCGGCCTCGTGGCCCTTCTTGGGGCTCTCTGGAGGGCCACGGGGGCGGCGCCCAGGAGGAAAACCATCTCTGACCCGAGTCTGCCGGGCATCGCCTGGGGTACTTTTCGTCCGGGGACCCCCAGGGGCCGCCCCGCGCGCGCGAAGTAGAAGTATGATTTAGCAGGTACCGGAGATCTTAGCACGCCTCTGGCCCGTTGGGCCGGCGAACTTAAACATGTTGTTTTTTTAAAGGACCAGTCTTCGGCCCTTGCAGTTGCTCCAAAGTTTCAAGATGAAGCTGCGCGGCGCTGAGGAGAGAGTTCCATTTTGAAACGCCCCCGCCCTCTACTCCCTTGAAGCCGTTGCGACTCTCAGGCTTCAGGGTCATAAGTGATGAGGAAGTCTCGAGCGAAATGCCCGGCCCGCCCTACCGGCACGTCTGGGGGTGCGACAGGGGGGAGTCGTTTGTATGGAGTAGAGGTTGACAGAGGAGGGAGGGATAGGAGGAAGGAGGAGAAGGAGGAGGGGGAGGAGGAGGAGGCGTGAATCGGAGGAAGGAGGAGGGGCGAGGAGGAGGAGGCGGAGGAGGAGGCGGAGAGGCGTTGCTGCGCGTGTTCCACCCGCAGAGCCGCCTCTCCTCGTGCCTCTCCGCGCTGGGCGCGCCGGGGTTCCTGCTGCAACTGCGGCTGCTGCCGCCGCGGGTGGTCCCGCCAGGGGGCAGATAAAGCCGCTCCATTGCCTGAGCGGCCCCCCCGCCGCCTTCTCGTCCCTTCCTTTGAGGGGTGGAGGAGGGCCAGTCGAAATAGCGACGGCCCTCTCTGGCGTTGTCCGCCCTTGTTCCTTTTTGGACCTCCTGGAGGCCTTTTGTCGCCACGGCTGGATCTGCCTCGAAAAACGGGTCAGGATGGACTCTGGGAGGCACTCGTGATTGATTTTGGGCGGAGTTGTGCTGGGCCTGAGAGCCGCAGTTGGGCGAGGGGCAGAGGGGGGGAGGAAGGCCCTCTAACATCTGAAGAAGAGGCCCCAGGGGAGCCCTGCCTCCCAAGCTGGCCCGCCTCATTTTCAATATCCAGCCACGGGAAGGGAAGGGAGGAGCGGAACGAGGCGTGAGGGAGTGGGGAGCAGGGTGTCAGGGAGGTGCGGGGGGGGGCAGGGATGTGTCAAGTGAGAAGGGGGCAGCATGGGAGGAGGGGAGGTGCGAGGGGGGGGAGGAGTAGCAGGGCAGGAGAGAGGGCGGGGGTTGACAGGAAGGGCAGGGGAGGGCAGGGGAGGCGCGAGATGGGAAGGGAGGCAAGGGGAAGTGGAGGAAAGGGGAGGGCAGGAGGGGGAAGAGGAGGCTGGGCGGGGGGGGGCAGCTGGAATATAACGAGATCCGAGGATCGAGTTTAGCTTCCTTTGTTGGTTCTCTAGAGGCCTCTTGAGACCCCTGGGCGTTTTCCGAAGTACCTGAGACTTCGAAAGCCTCTGGAGGGGTCGTACGTGGGAGTACGTGTGGCATGGGAGTCAGAGGGGAGGCAAAAGAAGGGAGGGACGTGAGAGGTGGGGCGGAAGGGAGGGAGAATGGGGAGGGGAGGTGGATTAGGCGTCGATGGCGCGGGGGAAAGACGGGAGGGCGAGGTGAACGGGGAGCGAGGGCAGTAGAAGGCGAGGTCGTGGGGAGGTGATGAGGCCGAGAGCCGAGGGGTGCGGGGCGAAAGAGGCAAGTTGGGTAGGCCCACGCCGCTTGTTGAAAGTCGGTATTCCTGGGTTCCCATACTCTACTTCATGATGATGAGGATCATGATGCTGATGATGATGATGATGATGAAGATGATGATGACGATGATGATGATGATGATGATGATGATGACGATGATGATGATGATGACGGTTGTGGTGGTGATGATGGTGATGATGATGATTTTGTTGAATATAAGGATGCTGGTTATGATGATACTGATGATGACTGTGAGGATGATGATGCTGCTGATGCTGACGAGGATGATGGTGTTGTTAATGCTGATGCTGATGCTGAGGATGAGCAGCATGAGAATGAGGATCTGTATGAGGTTGAGGATGGTGTTGATAATGGGGATTACGATGATGACGATGCTGCTGCTCAGAATGACGATGGTGCTGAAGTTCATGATGAGGATGCTGATGCTAGTGATGATGATGCTCATGCTGATGCTCATGCTGATGCTGATGCTGATGCTGATGCCGATGATGAGGTGGATGATGATGATGATGATGATGATGATGATGATGATGATGATGATGATGATGATGATGATGATGATGATGATGAGGAAAGTGGTGATGCTGATGTCCATGATGACGATGATGATGCTGATGCTGCTGATGATGATGATGCTGATCATGATGCCGATGAGGAGGAGTAGGATATGGGAATGAGGACGATTATGCTGATGATGCTGATGATGAGGATCATGCTGATGCTCATCCTCATGCTGATGCTGATGATGCTGATGCTGGTGCTGATGCTAATGAGGAGGATGAGGATCAGGATGAGGATAAGGATGAGGACGGTGGTGATGATGGTGATGACGGTGATGATGAGGAGGATGAGAATGACGAGGAGGAGGATGGGGATGAAGGTGAGGATGAGGATGAGCATGAGAATGAGGATGATGATGATGACGATGCGGGTGAGGATGAGGATGAGGCGGATGATGATTTGGATGAGGATTATGATGATGGTGGTGGTAATGGTGATGATGATGCTGATGCTGATGCTGATGCTGATGATGAGGAGGATGAATATGATAGTGAGGATGATGCTGATGATGATGCTGATGATGATGATGATACTGAGGATGAGGATGAGAATTGTGGTGATTATGCTGACGATGGTAGCCTCGATGGTGGTGAGGAGGAGGAGGTTTGGAATGAGGATGAGGATAAGGATGAGCGTGATGACGAGTATGAGGAAGATGATGATGATGATGATGATGATGATGATGATGCTGATGATGATGCTGATGTTGATGCTGGTGATGCTCATTGTGCTGCTGATGATGAGGTGGAGGAGTAGGATGGGGATGAGGATGAGCATGAGGATGAAGATGATGATGATGAGGATGATGAGGATGATGAGGATGATGATGATGGCCTCGATGCTGCTGCTGATGACGATGCTGATGATGCCGATGATTATGATGATGACGATGAGGGTGAGGAGGAGGAGGAGGATGACGATGAGGATGACGATGGCTGATCATGATCTGTATCCATTTTGGCCCAAGGGTCCTGATAGCCCCTGCGATGCGTTGTTCCCACGATGCGGTCTCCTTTTGGTAGCACCGTTCCGAGCATGCTAGCCAATCCTCGGATGTGCTCTGCGCTTTCTCCGACAGCCGGGGACGACATGTTAACACGCTTCGTGATGCCCTTCATTGGCAGCGACTGCATCAGGAGAACACATCGAATGAGTTGGCCCGGAAGCTTCGGAACATCGACCCTGCGTACAAGGTCTCGCGCCACCTTACAGCCCAGTACCTCGATGACACCATGCGGCTACTTCGTCAGGAGCTTCAAGCCTGCGGCACCAAGGAGCAGCTTAAACAGCAAGTCTTCTTTGACAAGGGTGCTCTCTTCTCGCCGACGCAGCCCTTCCTTGACCAGCTCCAGTCTTTGGCAAACCGGGGTGGATGATTGGGAAGCCCGCCATCCGCTTCCAAACAGTTCTGATTCGTATGATATGTATTTCCCGAAGATGACGACCCTGTGCCCAAGAGGCGAATCACTTTGGAGTTGTCCTTTGCTCACGCTCCGCACCGTCAAGAGAAGATCGATCGCCGACTGGAGGTGATCATGGAAGAGATCGCGAAGATGACGAACACGATCAAGGGTATGAACACTGCATTGGAGATGTTCAGAGTGTCGCTTGCTGGCTCTGTCTCGACACCGTCGTTCTGTAAGGGGTTCGGCAATTTTCCCCATTGCATAATGTGCGGCACGTGAGGTTTTGTTTTCTGCTTCAGTGTATCTACGCACGATACTCTTATGGTAGTATCTCTGGCTTTGCTATCACACAGAAGATATTAATTATGCTGGTTTTATGAAGTGAGGATGCCCATGATGATGCTGATGAGGATGAGGGCGAGGATGAGGCTGCGGATGAGGATGAGGATGATGATGATGAGGGGGATGGTGATGGTGATGGTGTAGGTGATGATGATGACGAGGATGAGGAGGCGGAAGCGAGCGATGATGAGTATAATTGACGAGGAGAGGATGATGATGATGATGATGATGACGATGATGATGATGATGATGATGATGATGATGATGATGATGATGATGATGATGATGGTGGTGATGATGCTGACGATGATGATGATGAGGAGGAGGAGGGGAGGGAGCTGAGGAGGAAGAAGAGGAGGAGGAGGAGTACTTCAAGTGGTGGAGCATGGGGAAGGGAACGTAGTGGGGGAGGGGGGGGAACATGGAGAGGGAGAGGAGGGAGGGGATGGATGGGATGGATGGGATGACGGGGGAGTGGGAGCGGGAGTTCGAGCATAGGGGGGAGGGCGGCGCTGGAGACGAAGGCCGCCTCAGCCCTCCGGCGAGGTACGGGCCGTCCTCCTCGCCTCGGGGGGGCCCCGCGACAGGAGCGTCGCGGGCACGGGGCCCGCCGCCTTCCTTCCCCCGCATTCGGCACGATCGAATTTGGCACGGTAGGACATGGGCACGGAAAGACTGCGTTTTGTTCCTTCTCGGGCTTGATTTTTTGTTGTACATCTGCTTCCCATTTTCCGCTCCATCACGCTTACCAAGGTTAACTCGTTGCGCTCTGCGAGTGAGTCGGGTTGATACATGTTGATCGCACTCTTTCCTCCCAGGAACGTTGCAAGCCCAGATCTTGAAGCCCGCCCAATCCAAAGAGAAGGTCGGCAGCACTTCCTGTCCATGTTGAGCCGGATTCGCTGTCGGCGTCGCCGCGGGCGTTGTACGTTTTAGACAGAAAGTTGTTTGCCCACCCACGGCCGCTGTCAATTTTGTTGTTGGGCATCGTGCCCATTTGTCTGCACCCATGTCGGTCCTCATCATCGTTCATGTTCCTTCTCCTTCTACGCTGCATCCTATTCTATCTTCTCGTTTGCTCTCACTTCCGTTTCTTCCTCTCGTTATCTCTTTGTTCTTCTCTCTGTCTGTCTGTCTCTCTCTCTCTCTCTCCGTGTCTCTCTCTTTGTCTCCTCATTTCTCCTTCTGTATCTCAGAAACGTATGCTCTCCAAGCAGTGTTTTCACGTATGGGGTTCTTATTAGTCGTACTGCCGTAATTCGATGGGTTCGCCATGGGGCAGCCTCGCTGGCGCTCGTGCCGCCTCGTGGGCGTTCGTCGGCGCCCCGTGCTTTGGGTGGGTCCGCAGAGGTTTCGCCTCGTTGGCGTCCGTGCCGCCTCGCGGGCGCTCGTAAACGCCCCGTGCTCTGGGTGCGTAACATAGCTTACACCACATAGCTAACACAACGTGGCTTACAAGCATAGGTTGCACAACATAGCTCACGCATAGCTTTAATCGCATAAGTTACACAACACAGCTCTGATTCCGCACAGCTTGCGCAACATCGTGCTCGCCACATAGGTCACACCGCATAGTTTGCACCACATGGTTTGCACCGCATATTACCTAACAGCGAAGACTGATAGGTTTCTAGTTGACTCAAAAGAGCTCACAGATCACTCCACAGGGGGGTCCGGGCAGGTGTTGGGGAGTTGCCGGGCGGCAGGGTGCCGGGCTCGTTTTTCACCAACAGTCACACACTTCGTGCTCTTCGACTTCCCAGAACTCCATTCCCAGGCCACATTCTCAATACCCGGATGCAACAGTCACACACTTCGTGCTCTTCGAGATCCCAGAACGCCATTCCCGGGCCACATTTAGAATAACCGGATGCAACAGTCACACACTTCGTGCTCTTCGAGTTCCCAGAACTCCATTCCCGGGCCACATCCCGGATGCAACAGTCACACACTTCGTGCTCTTCGAGTTCCCAGAACTCCATTCCCGGGCCACATTTTGGATGCCCGGAGCCAACTGTAGGCCACTTCGTGGTCTTCGAGTTCCCAGAACTCCATTCCCGGGCCACATTTTGAATGCCCGGAGCCAACTGTAGGCCACTTCGTGCTCTTCGAGTTCCCAGAACTCCATTCCCGGGCCACATTTTGAATGCCCGTAGCCAACTGTAGGCAACTTCGTGCTCTTCGACTTCCCAGAACTCCCATTCCTGGGCCACATTTTCAGCAGGGGCAAGAGCACGACGAGGAGGAGGACGAGCAAGACCAGGAGGACGAGGACGAGCAGGAGCAGGACGAGGAGCAGGAGGAGCAGGAGAAGAAGGACGAGCAGGAGGAGGAGGAGGACGAGCAGGAGGAGGAGGACGACCAGGAGGAGGAGGACGACCAGGAAGAGGAGGAGGAGGAGGAGGAGGAGGGGGAGGAGTACCAGGAGGAGGAGGAGGAGGAGGAGGAGGAGGAGGAGGAGGAGGAGGAGGAGGAGGAGGACGAGGACGAGGAGGAGGAGGAGGAGGGGGGGGGAGAGTACCAGGAGGAGGAGAACGAGGACCACCAGGAGGAGGAGGAGGAGGAGGAGGAGGAGGAGGAGGAGGAGAGACACCAGGAGGAGGAGGACGAGCAAGACGAGGAGGACGAGAACGAGGACGACCAGGAAGAGGAGGAGGAGGAGGAGGAGGAGGAGGGAGGAGGACTACCAGGAGGAGGAGGAGGAGGAGGAGGAGGAGGAGGAGAGGAGGAGGAGGACGAGGAGGAGGAGGAGGAGGACGAGGAGGAGGAGGGGGGGGGAGAGCACCAGGAGGAGGAGAACGAGGACCACCAGGAGGAGGAGGAGGAGGAGGAGGAGGAGGAGGAGGAGGAGGAGGAGGAGGAGAGAGCACCAGGAGGAGGAGGACGAGCAAGACGAGGAGGACGAGAACGAGGACGAGCAGGAGGAAGAGGAGGAGGAGGAGGAGGAGGAGGAGGAGGAGGAGCAGGAGAAAGAGGAGGAGGAAGAGAGGAGGCAGGCTGAGGCTGAGGCTGTGACTGCGACTGCCGTTGCCGCTGCGACTGTCATCGCGAATGCGACTACGACTGCGAGAACAGCAGAATTCGACAACTGGATTTTCATCTGAATCTTAAGGGGAATGCTTTCAGATATGCTTCTACACATCGCTGTTAGGTTGCTTTGCCGGGATAATCTCCCCTTTCCACACGGCAGTGACGAAGTGTTTGTGGTTCACGATGTCGAGCGTGTGTTTGTGTATGTACGTGTGCACATGCCCCAACCAGTGCTTGCATTTGGGGGTCTTATTTGTTTTCCAAGGAGCTGGCTCTGACGGTCGGTTTGGCCGCTATGTTGTCGCCATCGCCGCCCCGTCGTTGCCTCGTCGCCGCCCGTCATTTTGGGCTTGAGGGTCGATCTGGCGGCTATGTCGTCGCCGTCACCGCCCCGTCGCCGCCTTGTCGCCGCCCACCGGCTGGGCGTGACGGTCGGTTTGGCCGCTATGTTGTCGCAGTCGCCGCCTTGTCGCTGCTTCGTCGCCGCACAACATAAATCCCACCACAGAGTTACCGAACCAAACGCGCTGCGCCAGCGCAGCACCACGCACTCAGCGTTGCAAGGCAGCCGCGTGCACCACAAGGTATCTTTAAACGAAAACTTCGCAGGCGCAGCGCGATTTAAGTTACAGCGCCGCGACCGAGAAACAGGGCATGACACCACGAAACACATGACATGGCACCACATATTTTGAAACAAAATAGTGAGATGTACCCCCCCCAGACTTAACGTTCCCCTTTTTCATTGTGCAATTTACCTACGATTCTGCCCCATCGCCCATCTGATATATGTGATCTCGTACCACGCCAGCCTGGTCAATGTCGCCCCTGCCATCCTCTGCACACAACTATGCGCGCACACCCGCTCATCAAAATTCTTTACGCTTCGCGTATCCCCACCAGCCCATCTCACAGCAGCAACTCTTGCGAAGCATGCCGACAGTCGTGTTTTTCAGGCGTGTGTCCGCTTGGCCCCGCATATCTCCCCTGTTCCTCCTTCCTCCCGCCTCCTTGTACATCCTCCTTGTGGGGGGAGCGGGAGAAGGACGAGGCGGAGGAGGAGGGAGAGAAAGCGCTCCTCGTGGTTTGAGTCGTTTGGGGTTTCTCGTCCTGGTGTGAGTCGTTCGGGCCCTTCTTCCTGGTGTGAGTCGTTCGGGCTCTTCGTGGTGTGAGTCGTTCGGGCTCTTCGTCCTGGTGTGAGTCGTTCGGGCTTCTCGTGGTGTGAGTTGTTCGGGCCCCTCGTCCTGGTGTGAGTCGTTCGGGCCCCTCCTCCTGGTGTGACTCGTTCCGGCTCCTCGTGGTGTGAGTCGTTCGGGGCCCGCGTCGTGGTGTGAGTCGTTCGGGCTCCTCGTGGTGTGAGTCGTTCGGGCGCCTCGTCCTGGTGTGAGTCGTTCGGGCCCCTCCTTGTGGTGTGAGTCGTTCGGGCTCTTCGTGGTGTGAGTCGTTCGGGCCCCTCGTCCTGGTGTGAGTCGTTCGGGCTCCTCGTGGGGCCTCTTGGGGGCCTCTTGGAGCCTCTTGGGGCCTCTTGGGGGCCTCTTGGGGGCCTCTTGGGGGCCTCTTGGGGGCCTCTTGGGGCCTCTTGGGGCCTCTTGGGGGCCTCTTGGGGGCCTCTTGGGGGCCTCTTGGGGCCTCTTGGGGGCCTCTTGGGGGCCTCTTGGAGGCCTCTTGGGAGCCTCCTGGGGGCCTCTTGGGGTCATCTTGGGGCCTCTTGCGACCTCCTCAGAAGCGCAAATGAGCGCTGCCCCCTGAGAAGGACAAAATGAGGCCAAAACCTGCGTACAATCAATGATTTTGCTATGAAGGACGATGAGCGCTGCCCCCTCAGAAGCCCAAAATGGGCCCAACACCCGAGTAAAATCAATGATTTTTGCTTCAAAGACGAGTTGAGGCACCAAACTCCCCCCCCCCTCGGGGCCAGAATCCTCGTGAGGGTCGTCATTTTTTGGCCCTCCCAGACGTCGAAAAAGACCCCCCTGACGACCCGCGGAACTCCCTCTCCAGGTCCAGGGGGAGGGGGTAGGGGGAGGGGTAAACCCCTCCCCGAAGGGGAAGAAGGGGGGCTGAGGACAGAGAGAGCTCTCTAAACCACTCACGCCCAAAGGGCTGGTGGGATTCATCGGTTTGCAAGAACCCCCAGCAAACAGAAAGGGACGGTGTGCACACTCGCGCGTCGTCGCGCGCGCTTGCTGGCCTCCTTCAAAAACCTTACGTTTCGCAGCGATGTCATGTCCGAGTGTCTGGAACGCAGCTCAGCAGACGGCCGCCGTCCGCCAGCGGCGGGCGCTTCGGGATTGAAGTTGGCGGCTCCAGCTGCCGCGGCCCACCCCTTTGGCCTAGTAGATATGGAGTTCTTTGCGATGAAGTGCAACAGTCCAGGTCGAGAGCTGCGGCGCATGGGGTGCAGCAGCGGCGCGCCCATGAACTATTTGACCGGCGTCGGCGTCGTGACCCCGGACAATGACGAGTACGAGGAGGACCTCCTGATCGGCGCGGGCGTGCTCGATTGGTTCCCTATCGTCGGGCCAGACGGGCTCGTTCCACGCGCCCGACCAGGGGC